ACTCTGGGCCTGAGCACTGTCCCTCAGCTCTTCAGCTCAAGGCTAGCGCTCTACCACTTGAGCCACAGCGCCACTTCTGGCTTTTTTTCTTTTTGCTTATGTGGTACTGAGGAATCGGAGCCTCATGCATGCAAGGCAAGCGCTCTACCACTGAGCCACCTTCCCAGCCCTGAACTTCATTTGTGTAAGACTGGCACTCTCCCATTTGAGCCACAGCGCCACTTCCAGTGGTTTTTGTTTTTGTTTTTGTTTTGGTTGGTCATGGGGCATGAACGCTGGGCCTGGGTGCTGTCCCTCAGCTCTTCAGCTCAAGGCGAGCGCTCTACCACTTGAGCCCACAATACAACTCCCGGTTTTCAAGTGGTTTATTGGAGATAAGAGTTTCACAGACTTTCCTGCCCAGGCTGGCTTTTGAACTGAGATCCTCAGATCTCAGCCTCCTGAGTAGCTAGGATTATAGGCGTGACCCACTGGCACCCGGCTGGCACTTCCAGTTTTTTCTGTTTATGTGGTACTGATAAATTGAACCCAGAACTTCATGGATGCTAGGCAAGCATTCTACCACGAAGCCACATTCCCAGCCTTGTTGCACATTTTTTATAGACCTCCATTTTCTTTTTCAGAATGCTAACTCAGTTTGAATTACACATTGTCTGTCTCCCTTGCTATAATAAAAGCTATATGAACACAAGAACTGTGGCTGTTTTTAAACATTACTGTTGCTTGTCTCATTGACTACTTAGTGAAAGAATGAATGAGTATGCATTACATATAGTTTTTTAAAACCATTTTGTGTATGGTGCTGGTCCTGGAGCTTGAACTCGTTGTCTAGATGCTGTCTGTGAACTTTCTTTGCTCAAGAGCACTCTACCACTTGAGCCACAGCTCCACTTTCAGCTTTTTAGTGGTTAAAATTGGAGAATAGTTTTACAGACTTTCCTGCCGGGGCTGGCTTTGAACTGTGATCCTTAGATCTCAGCCTCTTGGGTTTAGTAGCTAGGACCATCATGGCAGTGACCTCATCACACATCAGCTTCGGAAATCTCTATCTATGAAAGGAGAGTGAAAAAGGCAAACAACTTTCTTAGTGTTATTATGGACTAATTTTTACTTGTAGACCCCTTGAAAAGGGTCTTGGACCTTCTGTGGTTGTACCACACATAATTTGAGAGCTGTTGTCCTCGCTGGTACAAGTGATTAATATGTGTTGACTGAATTAGAAACAGTGTAAGATAGAGAGCTGAGTGGAGTGTTAAGTTTTGGGGGATGGCTATTTGAAGTATGGCAGTTGTTAAGAGCTCTAGCACTCAAGAAAGACAATTTAGGGAATTTTTGCTAGTCTTTTTAAGTTGGTAATACATTAAAAAAAAAAAAAAGCTAGGTGCCAGTGGCTCATGCCTGTAATCCTAGCTACTCAGGTGGAAAACATAATTCATGAGAAAGTTTACTGAAAGTTATTCTGATCTGTTCTAGAATCTAAAAGTTTTGAACATTTTTATCAGTAACCTAAGAAAAAAGACAGAAAAGATTACACTCAATAGACTATGATGTATGTAATCCCAGGGAGGCAGGGACTGGGAGAATTGTGGGTCTTGTCTAACCTGGGCAAAAGATCATGAGATCACATCTCAACCAATAAAAAGCTGGCTCACATCAGCTAAGCAGGAGAGTCACAGTCCAGGCTAGTCTGGGCATAAATGTGATATCCTATGTCATAAATAAAGCAAAAAAGGTCTAGGGGAGAATTGTAGAGCATCTGCCTAGCAAGCATGAGGCCTGAGTTCAAACCCTTGTACTGCCCCCCCCCAAGACCCCCAAAACCTCAAAGCCAGCTTTCCTTAAGTAGCAGGCATTATAACACAGAAGTTACTGAATAAATAGATGAATGTTTACCTATGGATGGATTTACAAATTACATATAAATACCTTTCAATTGTACTTATCAGAGATAATTTCTTTGTAACATCTTCTGTCTTTTGGCTAGTTAATACTTTATTTTTTGTTTTTATTTTTAATTTTTGTCAGTTGTGGGGCTTGAACCCAGGGCTTGGGCACTGTCCCTGAGCTTTTGTGTTCAAGGCTAGCACTCTGCCACTTTGAGCCACAGCTCTTCTTCTGGTTTTCTGGTGGTTAACTGGGATCTCAGCCTCCTAAGTAATTAGGATTACAATTGTGAGCCACCAGCATCTGGCTAGTTAATACTTTAGTTAATACTTTATTAATTTCCTTTTCATTCCAAATTGATAATTGATGATTTTGATATTTCAGATTCGCTACATTTCACAAACACAAGGCCTGCCAGCTGAATATCTTCTCAGTGCTGGAACGAAAACAACCAGGTTTTTCAACAGAGATCCTAATTTGGGATACCCACTGTGGAGGCTTAAGGTCTGTTTTCCCACTGCACTGCCCATTCACATACTGCCACCCTCATTTTTTAATTCAGGCTTTAGTTGTTAAATCCTTGACTTGGAAGAGAAGGAGGAAGAATTACTTCACTGTACTCATTGATTCTTGGTTAAAACAAGATAATTAGCCAGGCACTGGTGATTCACACCTGTAATCCTAGCTTCTCAGAAGGCTGAGATCTGAGTATGGTGGTTTGAAGCCAGCAGAGCAGGAAGGTCCATGAGAATCTTATTTCCAGTTAATCAGCAAAAAGCTGTCAATGGAGTTGTGGTACCAGCCTTGAACACAAAAGCCCAGAGATGGTGCCAGACCCTGAGTTCAAGCCTCAGAACCAGTACAAACAAAACAAAACTCAAGATAACTAAGTGCTGACTCAGTTAGCTGAAATTTATTTTAGAACCAGAAGTTGCAGGGGGAGGATGGGGCAGGTAATGGAGGATAGTGTTCACAGTTAAGTGAAATTTAGTAATGACTATTTTAGAGCCTTCTCAGTAAACATGAAAAAAGAACTGAATAGTCTACTTCCCCACATTCAGGCTTTACATGTTTCCTTGCAGCAAGTACCTACAAGTACCTACTTTTTACTTCTGCGCTTCTTGATTTAATTTGAGAAATCTAAGTAATTTGATTGTGGCTCTACCTCTGAACCTGCTGAGCTATAAGCATTGACCTTATCAATTCATTTCAAAGAAATTTTAAGAGAAAGATGGCAATGTGCCTCTTCCCCTGACATGCTTCAGGAACTGTGTGGCATCGTGACTTCATGTTTATTTGTGTCACTGTTGAAAGGGTGGCCAGGTATCAAGGACACATTCTGGTTGTAATCTGTTTCATCATCGGTTGGCAAGATGATGACACTTATCTCTTTGTGTTCCAACTTTAATTTAGACTAAAATATAGAAATAACATGCATATTTTGTAGACACCTGAAGAACATGAATTAGAGACTGGCATAAAATCGAAAGAAGCTCGGAAATACATTTTTAACTGCTTAGATGACATGGCGCAGGTAAGAATGGTGGGTTCAGAAGGCAAGACGTCTATATTGTTCTCCAGTCATACATTTCTGTTGGTGATACTAAAGACAGACTTAGCTTGTTGTCTTTTTTAGTTTGTTTCCAGTTTGAAAGAAAAAGCACATTGGAATTAGAGGGCTGGGAAGGTGGCTCAGTGGTAGAGCGCTTGCCTTGCATGCATGAGGCCCTGGGTTCAATTCCTCAGCACCACATAAGCAAAAAGAAAAAAGCC